CTACTGTGTATTCCAAAAACATTGTGCGTCTTTCGGAATTAAATTCTAAAAATATCACGTAAATTTCGTTACAATTTCTCAGAAACGATCATTGCGGGAACATTGTGGGCCGGGACTAAGATTTTTGATGCGATAAAACGATAGTTCGAGGAACGATAGAAGCGGGAAAATGTAACATTATTTTATATGGGATGTATTCGGGACCGAACAAAACGGACGATGCATCCGGGAAAACGATAGTTCCGGGAACGATGGATAGAGGTTTCACTGTATATTAAATTATGAAACAGAAGGAAATAGAGATATTGGCAAACCACAGCTAAGATGGACCTGAACAGTTTGATGGAACTAATCTCTGGAGGTAGATAATGATACTGTTGTGTTCAGGGTGTTAACAGACTGTAACTCTAGGAGCTGCTTGTTCAATGCTGGACTATTGATAACTTTTTGTATTGTGTAGCTGTGAATGAAAATTCATGTTTACAGAAAATATATCAGTGCTGTGCTGGAATGCGAGTAGTGATTCAGTAGTTCTGTGTAACATTCTTTGAAGTTGTACAATGTTGACTCCCATACAGCAAGTGAAGAGTCAGAAAACTACAAAATATCAGCTTATATGCGCCTAATTTAATGGTCTCATTTAATTTTGGTATTCACCAGCATCATCATCACCCTTCCCAATATTAAGCCTGGTTAGCCAGTTACAGGTGTTACAAAGAGCATTTTTCTGTTTTTTAGTGGTTGTCCTAATGCAATTTCTTCCTTTGGGTTGGTACTGTTTAATTTTGAAAAGAATTCAGTTATTCCAGGATTTTCATAATGATTACATTCTATGAGTATTATCTTGTATTATGTACATTTGTATGTAAAAATTGTCAAGCCCATCTTGGCTGGAAGTGCTGTCATAAGACCTAACAGGAAGTGTCCAAACATTGACCCAGAGGAAGATGACAGTTATGAAGGGCTGTAAAGAGAAGGAAAGATTCTATTTTCTAATACCTCTGAAGCTAACTGATTTTAATACTGGGAAGGATGATGATATTTGCAACTGCTCTGTTACCTTGGCTGTGAGTTGTTGTTGTTTACATCTGAAGAGTAGGTAAGCTCAAAGTAGTGTGAGTTGTCGGCTCGGCTACTGCTTCCTGTGTCAATTGTTCTGTTCACTCTCTCAAAGTCACTGTAAGAATAAGACTCATTTAGTGTTTCATATTCAGGGTCTTAGCTGGGATCAGCTGTTCATGTCTTTTACTCAGCTATGCTGGCAGGTGTTCAGCGCAGATGTTTTTCAGCCTCTTCAGAAATGTACTAGATATACTAGGACAGCAGCTAAAAATGGGCTATGACATGTTTCTTCCACATCATTCCTAACTCTAACTAACCCATCTTCAAGGTGTATGGTATTCCTTGTATGTTTGTATTTATTCAGCCAATCAAGAAATCCTTGTCTTTTAAAGAACTGAACTAGTCCCCACTCTCCACTTTATGTTAGAAATTGGCTAACCAAATATATATTACGTTAAAATTAAATTAAATTAAATCCGTGGCGTAACAGCTCCAGAGAGCCTAAGCTGACTAACTTGACTGCTGGCCTCACGTTCACATGCCTAAGCAGAGGTGAACGATCATCCAACCAGATATAGGGTGACGTGTGGTCAGCACGACGAACTCCCAGCCATTGCTAGCTTTCCTGACCGAATTACGCTACTCATTGTAGCTCCCCAATTTCCTCACGATGCTGGGTTGGCACCGGTCCCATACACTGGTCGAAAGCTCATGAGAAAATTTCTTCTCCCCCGAGACTCGAACCAGCACGCATTCCGTATCGCCGGTCCGAAGCATGATGCCTCAGACCGCGCAGCTACGGCGCGGGACATATATTATGTTAATGTAAATTTATATTTATTGCTTCTAAAATAATTTACCTGTATGTCATTGCTTTGCAGACGGCACGCCCTAGATCAGCGACTTCCCATGCAGACTGTGACCTGGCTACAACATTGTCGAAGTTCTGCAGGCAGAGTTTACCCCAGCGACCCTGCTTTCTCACCATCAGGTAGCCTTAAATAGTGAGTCAGATTGGTTCATATTTTTGACCTATTGCCATGAAGTTCTTTAACTGAGATCAGCAATTCAGATACAGCTTGTCTGTGTGTGTGATAGCAAGTTTTTCCAGTCATGTTTAAATACTAGTATTTCTGTCTCATGTGTTCTGTTTCCTTTATATAGCCTATACTATTATCTGTTCTTACTATATATTAAGATCTGTCTCCTCAGTGTGGTATGTAATTACCAATTTTTTATGACCCTCAAGTTCCATGTCACCATTATCGCAAGAGTCCACCATGGGACCCTAAGACCTGAATCAGTTCTTATAAAAATGGGGGATGTGAGAATTTGGGGTTTAACAGGTAATTTCTGCCCTTACCCTTACATGTAACAAAATATTACACTCCACAGAATTTTCCCCAATCGTTCTGATTGTATGAATGAATTTTGTTGCTGTTTTAAGGACTGTTCATTTACCTTCTGAGTTGTATGGGAAGTCACCTGCAGTTGCCTCATTTTGTGCAACAGTGACACATTGCTTTTCATCATCACCATAGGGACAGTCTCGTGCCCCATCACAAAGTCGATGTTGGTCCACACACACCTGGGAGTTGGGACACACGAACTGCCCAGGAGAACACCATTCTGCACAGGAATGTCATGAAGTCTATATAGAATGAAAATTATACTGTTGTTATACTGTCTTTGGGAGAATTTGGTTGGCTAAGTTTTGTGCAATTAACTCCTTGAGTCAGAATAGTTATATTAGTGACAATCTTTTAATCTTAAGAATGCTGAATAATCGATTTAGTTTCAAAAATGCCTGTGTTGGGTAGCCCATTTCTATGCCATCTCACATGCTTTAATTAGGATAAACTCTGATGTTGCAAGACAGAATTAACCAGCTTCCTTTGCACAGTCTTGTTATTTGAACCATGTGCAGTTGGTAGTAAATATTGAGGTGGCATTTAATAGTTGTATTTCATTTACACATGATGATTGTCTGATATATAAAAGTATGCAAAATGTAAATTGAGTGGAACAGGAGGTACAGAGAAGGGTAATAGCAGGAGGCTAGACAGTTTTTTCAGTGGCTCACATTTAGTAGGTTATGTAATTATGTCAATAATGTTCTCAAAGTTATTTAATTTTATGGAAATAGCATATGTTTGTTTTGCTTATCTATATTTTTTTTAATTTAGCAAGATACTAGTATCATTGTAGTTCATTAAGTGGTTTGGGAGGTAAAACATATAGCTGAATGGACAGACAGACAGACAAAACCTGCATATTATGTTTAGTTTATGTGTGTAGTTACCACTTATGCAAAGTATTCTTTATTAACAACTTATTATTTGCATCCCTGTGAGAATGGGATAGAATTTACCACAGTTATTCTCATCACTGAAATCCCAGCAGTCAACAATACCATCACACAGCTTGCGTGTGAGGAACTGTGCTTTTAGGTAATCTGCACAGGTACAGCTTTGCTCATCTATCCCATCGCTGCAGTCAACAAGCTGGTTGCAACGAGACAGAGACGAGATACATTCCCCATCTCCACAGCGGAGACTTTGGTTGCTGGGACATCCTGAAACCCAATTGAAGCATTGTTTGACTATTCAGGATTACAATTTTTACCCCCTGTTGGAGGGCATAAATTTAAGTATTTTGAAGTGTAAGACTAGTCTTCCTTGAGAAAGTGATAGCTGCTCATCTACTCAGGTAATCCTCTTTCCTTATAGAATTTTAATGCTCATTACTGTCATTGTTCTTCTCTTCCTCATGTGTTATATTCCCTGCCTGTGTCATTCTTAGAATCTTTCTGTAATCATCACTGTCTTCATAAAGTGAGGAGTAAGTGTGATCAAATATCATGTAATCTACATACCTGCTGTATTAACAAGATCAGGAGATCCTTCTTCAGTAGTTGCTTGTTTTTCACTAAATTGTTGGGGTGCTTTATTGTATATTTTTGTTAGAATTGGTATCCCTGCATGATTGTTGCTTCCATGCAACAGAATTGCTTTCGTTGACAGCTTTGCTTCTTCTGCCATATTATTTGTTATTTTATCGCTGACGTAGCTTTCAGTTGTTTTATTGCTTATTTTGTTATGATCCTCATAGATATTGTTTTGACTGTCTTTTGTAACATTATTTGATGATATTGCTGTATGAACATTAGCATACTTGCTGAGTGTGTTTACTGCTTCTTCAGACATGAAGCTGTTTTTCCTAGTTACACTAAGTAAAAGCATAACATCATCATCAGACATTTCAAAGTCATCTGGTGGTTGCTTATCTTGCTTGCTGCTTGAAGCTGTTACCTTTGTGACTGTGAAATTTGTAAATGTTTCCAGTGCTTCATTGCTAGTGTTGGTCAGTCCATCTTTGGGTGAATAAATTTCATTTGGTGTAGAATCTTCATACAGTGCTGTAGACATTTCTTCTGTTGTTGGAATAATTTCCTCATGAACTTTTTGCATTGTTAGTTCTTGTGCAACAGTGGACTGTGTGGAAGTAAATGGCAGTTCTTCTTCCCTTTGTGGAGAGGCTTCTTTGGTCAGATTTGATGAAGCATTAGTTTGTGGTAAAATGATATCCTCCTCTGCTGATGAAAACTGTTCAGAACCATAATTTTCTGGAGTTGTACTGTCTGTTGTTGAATTTAACTCCTTTTCTTCAGAAGAAATTTGATCAAAAGTGTAATTTTCTGAAATTGAACTCTCTGTTGCTGAATTAATTTCAAACACTGTTCTGGATTCATAAAAAATTGTACTGTAATTATAGTTTTCTGGCTCAGACTTTGTAACCATAATAATAGTATTGTTTGTTCCGTTCTCTTTCCTACCAAAGATGTTTAGAGTTGTAGTAGTGTCTGTAACATCAGTTATTTGTGACATAGGCAGATCAGTGTACATCTCGTCTTTCATTTTCATATTACCAGTGCTGTCCATCATTCGTTCTTCTAGTCTCATGTTTTTGAACGTAGATGCATAAGTATTTGTTAATTTCATTTTTGGTTGTCGTCTCGTTTCCTTAACTTTGTGAGTAAAAGTTGTTTCCGTGACAGATGTTGGCAGTGTGATGGGCAGATCCATGATGCTGCTAAGATTGCTGTCCACTTGTTTCGATGTTGTAATGTTTTCTGTATTATGCCTGTCACTACTAATATTTGGTGTAATTGTATTGTCAACAGTATTTGGTGATTGAGATGTGTTCAGAGGACTAATAATTACTTTGCTTGCATTTTCTCCAAATGAGATCTCAATGCTTGTTGTAGTAACAATATCAGTGTGTAGAATTACTGCTTGTGGTGTTGTAATGTTTGGCTGGGGAGTTGTATTTCTCATGTTTTCTTTGACACTTTCAGGTTTCTCTTTTGAACTGTTATTGTCACCCTGAAGTTGTGAAATTGTCATAGATATATTCTGGCTTATTCCTTTTTCTGATGAATTCCCATTGTTTCTTAGTTCTGAAGTCCTAAGTGAGGAAGCACTGCTTATGACATTTGTGCTCCTGGTAATATTTTCTATCTGACTACCAGTACCATCAGGGACATTGCTTGTAGATGACTGTGCTTTCAGTGTTGATACAGAACTGCTCACATTTGCTTTTTGCTTGTTTGGGTTATTTTTATACCATGTATCATCTGGTAAGTCTTGTATAACAATAACAGGGATGAATTCACTGGGAGTCGTATGACGTATTGCTGGTTGAGCTGACAATGGCACTGTTGAATGTGAATTCTTGGGTGCTGTTACAGTATTTTTATGTGTCAAATGGGAAGGAGTTGTTTTGGTGGTGAGAATTTGTTGATGTGGAGAAGGTGTTGGTGAGGTGGAGGTGTTTGTTACATTGATTTCTTTTATTTTCATGTTATTGGAATTAGTGATACCTGCAGTTATGTTTTTCTGTACTTCTCCTTCAGAAGGTCTTTGATTCAAAGTTGAAACTGATGCAATTTTTATCATATTTTCTACAACATGAGTAACATTTTTTGTTTGGTCTGTGAATGTTTTGTTGATCTGACTCTTGTGATTTGTATTTGAAGCTGCATTTGCTAAAGAGGACTCATTCAACATAGCTGTCAGTGCATACGATGTTGATGAAGGTGATGTTCCTATAGTTGTTTGTGCTGATGTTGTTATTGATGTTGGTGGCAGTGTTTCTGTCACGTTGGGCTTTACTTCTGTTGATGGTTGTTGTGTTGTTATTATTTTCCTTAATGGTGAAGTAGTTGCAGTTATTTGGGTTACTGTACTTGATGTTGCTAGATTTGTCCCTTTTGCTGGTGGCATTGTCATTATTTTCTCTGATGCTGATTTTTTAATAGATGCAGCTGGCACTGGTCTGATTGCTGAAAACACTGGTGCTACTTCTGTTTGTGTTACATTAATTGATGTCAGTACTGTATTTGTTTTTGGCACTGGCGTACTTGATCGTGTTACTGGTGAGTGTGATGTCAATGTGGATATCTGCTGTGAAGCTGAAGAAGTTATTCTTGAAAATATTTGTGACTGTGTAGAGTATTTAAAGCCACTGCTCTGTGACTTATGATCCATTTTTGTGATTCCTACTTCCTGTTGTGGTGCCTCTGTTGTTGGCTGATTGGAGTTTATCATAGCTTCTTCAGATTTGTTAGTGGATCCTGCTAAATTGTTTTGTCTTTTGTGTGATACTTCATATTGTTGTACACCATTTACTGGACCAGATGCTATTGGTGGTGTTGGAGAAGAATATCCACTATCTCCTACTTTGTGCCTCAAAGTATATTCATAATTTAAAGTCACATTCATGGGTTCATTCTCATTTTTAATTTGAATTGATATATGAGATGGTAACTTGGGTCTTGGTCTTAGGGGTCTACCTACCCCAGAATTGGATCTGACAGGTATCAGAGTCACTATGGAGAATGATGTATCTGCTACAGAATCACCCATAGGATTAAGTGTTGCTAATTGTACCTTCATAGATTTATTTTCTGGCATTCTGGGCAAGGGTGACTCCACTGATGTTACAGCCGATGGAATGTCTGTGTCTTTGAATGGGATCTTGCTGTTCTCAGGTCTTGCTCTGTTTCCTGTGTCAGCCCATGGTGGTTGATGGTGATGTCTTACTGGAAATGATTCCCTATGTGAACTGTATTGTGGCTTCACAATTGATCTTGTATCATTAAGTCCTTCAATCCATTGCTGGTTGCTCGAAGAAACAGAGCCTTTGTATAAATCAGGATTTCTAGAATTAGTGTTGACTGTGAAGTCCCCTTGAAAATGTTTATATTGGTGACTTATCCATGTTGCACTGGGCTGTGCATTCTTTATAGGAGATGCCTTAAGTATAGCATCCACATCATGGAACTGGTGAAGGATTGGTAGTTCTGGGATTGTGAAAGGATTAGCTATGGATTGACGCATTGAGGGTGGTTCAGAGGTGGTGTAAGTAAGGGGAATTGTGTGTGGGGGTAGAAATGTTGCTGCCATGACTGGTTGGTGCTGTTTACGAATGATGATTCCACCTCCACTTGTGGTGTGAAGGATACTGGTTTCTGGATTCTCCCCACTAACGCTGCCAGAACCAACAACATGAAGAGACACTCTGGATATGGTATCATCAGGCTGTGATTCCTGGGGATCAGAGTGCAAGCTGAAACTGCCATAGCCACCTGCAGAGATAGAGCACAGATAACTTCCACACTGTATGAAATCAGAAATGCTTGTATTCTGTGTATACTAAGGAAACATGCAGCCCCCACACCCACTGTTGGTTTGAGTCCCATATTTAGCTGTAGACCCCCATTGCCAGCCATTTTCTGTATCACACTGTCATTGGGGTTAAGCAGAATCCTGCTATATAGATGCTTCCATCTCAGAAGCTCATGCAGGCAAGGTCCAGAGAGCTCAAACATCCACAGCATTCAGTCTGAATACCTGACATCCATGACAGAAGACTTTCCAAAATACTAATAATTGAGATGGATAAAAATTATGGTTCAAATTGTTTTGTATTATGAAATTAAGTCTCCTGTTTTTCTCTCCCATTATAATCTCCTTCTCTTAAGATTAACATTGTCAAGTGAGTTGCATGAATGATTTATGAAGTTTTTGTTATGTAATTTCTTTTATTCCCAACTTCTTTGTCCATGTAAGTCCCAGTAGTTTCCTGAACACTTGGTTTTCAACACTTGATATTTATGTTCTTTCTTCAAAGGGACTATGTTTCATAGTCATATGAAAAAGCTGGTAAAATTATTGTTTTGTGTATTCACTATCTAACTAATAAAGTCCCTCCTTTGCTACATACCCAAGGAGCTCTCCTGCAGCTTGTGCGTGGGTGCAGGTTGTCCTAGTCGTGAACTGTATCTGTTGTCATGATAATGGCCCTCATTTGTTTTTTTATTCTCTACTGCAGATGGAGGGATGACAACTACTTCAGCCATGCCAGTTCCTATGTCATCATTATCTGGTTTAAGAGAATGTTTTGTGTAATGTGGCATAATTGGTCTCCATGGCTCATCACTTTGGATTTGAGGAGGATCTACAATGTGGAGAAATGATTCCTGGAAATGCTGACTTGTTACTTCTGTATCTGTATAATTATGTATGGCTCCTGTTGCTTTTAGGTTTGTAGGTTTAGTATTAGGGATTGGGGTGCTTCTTGAATCAATGTTCCAGAGGTCAGAAGTTAGGCCAGATGTTGCGTGAGTATGATAATGATCACTGTAAGTATTGGTTTTTAAATTGAGAGGATTTGCTGTGAAATCTTCAGGACTTCCCATCAAGAGGACATCCTTCTCTCCAGTTTTTATCACAAGTGTGTCATTTCCATCATGTGAAATTTTCCCATCTAAACCATTAACAGTTCCACTGGGTCTTCCAGTGTTTTGTCCTTGATAATCTTGTTTTGTACCTATAAAATCTTTTCTGACCACATCTGTTGTAGAAAATTTTGTGATTGTTTCATCCCCCAAATTAAATTTATCATAATTTTGTGTTGATTGCTTTTTACTAGAAATATAAGAAGGGTGAATTTTGGGTCTGATTGGATTTCTGTCATCATTCTCGAGTGAAAATTTATCATCAGTCTGTGGTTTCATTTGTGTGTTCTGTTCCATGGGATTAATTTCTGAAGTAGATGCTATCCCAGCAGTTGAATTTAGGACATGTTTAGAATTTCCTTTTGTATCTCTGTCTGCTTTATTCCCTGAATTTCCAGATGCTTTGCTTATTGTGTCATTGTCACTTTTACTCTCGCCACTGGAGATATCTGCATTTGAACTAGTCACATTTCTTCCTTCTTTTAACATGCTTGGAATATCAGAAGGTTTCTCCATTGTTTCTTTAATTTTTGTAATGACTACAGTTCCCTCGATTATGGGAATTGCTTCCCCTTCTGCCTCCTGAGTTTTAGTTTTCAAATCTTTAGTATTGGTCACTTTCATTTCGCTGTTTTCCTGTTTTGAAACTGTTGAAGATTCATTTGTTTTGTTCAAGATTGAGGTATTTTCTGTTATTGTCTTTCTTATCACACCATTGTGCATCTGCAAGGTTCTGTTTCCTGAAGGCTTCTTTTTGGGCATACCCTCTATAGGACCTGTAACTGCATCATCCATGGACCCTGCACACA